TGTGTGTGTGTGTGTGTGTGTGTGTGTGTGTGTGTGTGTGTGTGTGTGTGTGTATGTGTGTGTGTGTGTGTGTGTGTGTGTGTGAGAGAGGGATGGAGGGTGGGTGAGGGTAGCGTGCTTTTGAGTATTGAGCCCCTCTCGTGGGCTTCCTGGCTGTAATAACTAAACCACCCCACAACATTGAGCTCCACTCACTGTGAAGAGAGAGCGAGAGAGCGAGAGAGCGAGCGAGAGAGAGAGAGAGAGAGAGAGAGAGAGAGAGAGAGAGAGAGAGAGAGAGAGCGAGAGAGAGAGAAAGAGAGAAAGGGAGAGAGGGAGATGGAGGGAGGAAATGAGGGAGGAAGAAGGGAGAGAGAAAATACAAAGTGGGGGAGAGAGAGAGACTGAGCAAGACAGAGAGAGAGAGAAAGAGAACGGGAAATGGAGAAATGGAGGGATGAAAGATGGCAGTCGCTGGTTTCCTCAGCCCAGCCCTGCCTGAGTAATGTGTAGTGCTCAGCCGTGTGCAGCAACAGCTATCACGTTATTTACAGCCAAGGACTTATTGTGTGCGTCACAAATATCACCCTATTCCCTCTGTAGTGCACTACTTTTGACCAGGGCTCATAGGGCTCTCGTTAAAAGTAGTGCACTATATAGGGAATAGGGTACCATTTGGGACGTACAGAATGTATCAGCCAGTAATGAGCAGGGAGCCAATGGCCTGTACTCTGAAGCCCACTCATTCACTCACTGCATTAAACAACAGGCAGCACAGCAAGGCCAGTCAGTCGCTTCAGAAACAAAGCAATCACTTTCTACTTTCTCTGTATTTTCTACGCTCTGACCGGTTCTGATGATCTTGTGTGTGTGGGGGAGGGGTGTGTGTGTGTGTAAGTAAAGCCATTATTAATGTGAATGTGGTTTCTGACTCCAAACACAAACACGTAGATACATAACTGTCATGACTCACCGCACCTCCTCTCCCCCATTCAGCAATACATTTGTCAGTCTGGATAAGAAGCAAGTAGCACAAACGCCATACATTAACAGTGCGGGAAACATTGGCCTCTGATGGTTATAAACTATAAGTGCAGAGCAGGTAATAAAACAGTGTGAAGTACTTGCTGAAATAGAGAAAATAAGATGGAGAAAGTGGAAACCATAGGGAACCTTACAGTAAGAGAAATTATACATTGTGAACACATGAAATGCCATCAGATGGATTTATTGACACATGGGGCCCTTTATTCAACCTGATCTTCAGCCAACTCAGGTCCAGGTCTTCAGTAGGCCACCATGTTCTAGAAGAAAAGAGAGAGAGGGAGTTCTTTACAACAAGATTTTGAAAAACAAAGTATAACTAACTGGTCCTGCAGGAGTGGCACACATTGTGTATGTGCAAGCATATGTGTGCGTTTTTTCTCTCCCAGACTGTGCCTGCTGACCTCCTCTGATACTCTAGAGAAGGTCCTGGCACGTCTCGGATCGTTCCAACTGCACTTCCTGTACCAGTTCTCCCAGCATGCTTAGGGAGCGACAGTCACAGTCTGCCACAGACATCTCCAGGACAGGGAACTGGACTGAACTGAACGTTCTGAACACACACTACTGGACATCTACCAAAGAGAGAGACGAAGGCCCTATAAATGATTGATCATGGTGAACCTAGAAGTAAACAAAAACAGCAACCGTTTATGAAGGAAATGCCCTGATATTTATATTGTTTAAGATTTACTTGCACATGCATGAGATGTGTTTGGAAAATGGACACACAGCAATACAGCACCAAAACATTAGTAACTTTTTTTTTACTTCTCATGTACAATTCATAAATGGAATCGATTGATTCACCATGATCAATCATTTATAGGGCCTTCGTCTCTCTCTTTGGTAGATGTCCAGTAGTGTGTGTTCAGAACGTTCAGTTCAGTTCCCTGTCCTGGAGATGTCTGTGGCAGACTGTGACTGTCGCCTAGTGGCAGGGGACTTTAATGCAGGGAAACTTAAATCGGTTCTACCTAATTTCTATCAGCATGTTAAATGTGCAACCAGAGGAAAAAAAAACTCTAGACCACCTTTACTCCAGGATTCTTCCGATAGCATTGAGGAGTACACCACATCAGTCACTGGCTTCATCAATAAGTGCATCGATGACGTCGTCCCCACAGTGACCGTACATACATTTCCCAACCAGAAGCCATGGATTACAGGCAACATCCGCACTGAGCTAAAGGGTAGAGCTGCCGCTTTCAAGGAGCGTGCCTCTAACGCGGAAGCTTACAGTGGGGAAAAATAGTATTTAGTCAGCCACCAATTGTGCATGTTCTCCCACTTAAAAAGATGAGAGAGGCCTGTAATTTTCATCATAGGTACACGTCAACTATGACAGACAAATTGAGGAAAAAAAAAACAAGAAAATCACATTGTAGGATTTTTAATGAATTTATTTGCAAATTATGGTGGAAAATAAGTATTTGGTCACCTACAAACAAGCAAGATTTCTGGCTCTCACAGACCTGTAACTTTTTCTTTAAGAGGCTCCTCTGTCCTCCACTCGTTACCTGTATTAATGGCACCTGTTTGAACTTGTTATCAGTATAAAAGACACCTCTCCACAACCTCAAACAGTCACACTCCAAACTCCACTATGGCCAAGACCAAAGAGCTGTCAAAGGACACCAGAAACAAAATTGTAGACCTGCACCAGGCTGGGAAGACTGAATCTGCAATTGGTAAGCAGCTTGGTTTGAAGAAATCAACTGTGGGAGCAATTATTAGGAAATGGAAGACATACAAGACCACTGATAATCTCCCTCGATCTGGGGCTTCACGCAAAATCTCACCCCGTGGGGTCAAAATGATCACAAGAACGGTGAGCAAAAATCCCAGAACCACACGGGGGGACCTAGTGAATGACCTGCAGAGAGCTGGGACCAAAGTAACAAAGCCTACCATCAGTAACACACTACGCCGCCAGGGACTCAAATCCTGCAGTGCCAGACGTGTCCCCCTGCTTAAGCCAGTACATGTCCAGGCCCGTCTGAAGTTTGCTAGAGTGCATTTGGATGATCCAGAAGAGGATTGGGAGAATGTCATATGGTCAGATGAAACCAAAATATAACTTTTTGGTGAAAACTCAACTCGTCGTGTTTGGAGGACAAAGAATGCTGAGTTGCATTCAAAGAACACCATACCTACTGTGAAGCATGGGGTGGAAACATCATGCTTTAGGGCTGTTTTTCTGCAAAGGGACCAGGACGACTGATCCGTGTAAAGGAAAGAATGAATGGGGCCATGTATCGTGAGATTTTGAGTGAAAACCTCCTTTCATCAGCAAGGGCATTGAAGATGAAACATGCCTGGGTCTTTCAGCATGACAATGATCCCAAACACACCGCCCGGGCAACGAAGGAGTGGCTTCGTAAGAAGCATTTCAAGGTCCTGGAGTGGCCTAGCCAGTCTCCAGATCTCAACCCCATAGAAAATCTTTGGAGGGAGTTGAAAGTCCGTGTTGCCCAGCGACAGCCCCAAAACATCACTGCTCTAGAGGAGATCTGCATGGAGGAATGGGCCAAAATACCAGCATCAGTGTGTGAAAACCTTGTGAAGACTTACAGAAAACGTTTGACCTGTGTCATTGCCAACAAAGGGTATATAACAAAGTATTGAGAAACTTTTGTTATTGACCAAATACTTATTTTCCACCATCATTTGCAAATAAATTCATTAAAAATCCTACAATGTGATTTTTTGGGTTTTTTTTTTCTCATTTTGTCTGTCATAGTTGACGTGTACCTATGATGAATTTTACAGGCCTCTCTCATCTTTTTAAGTGGGAGAACTTGCACAATTGGTGGCTGACTAAATACTTTTTCCCCCCACTGTATAAGAAATCCCGCTATGCCCTCTGACGAACCATCAAACAGGCAAAGAGTCAATACAGGACTAAGATTGAATTGTACTACACAGGCTCTGACAGTTGTCGGACGTGGCAGGGCTTGAAAACTATTACAGACTACAAAGGGAAGCACAGCCGCGAACTGCCCAGAGATACAAGCCTATTTTTCTTAATTAACACTTTTTTAATTTACATTTTTCTTTAAAAAACTGCATTGTTGGTTAAGGGCTTGTAAGTAAGCATTTTGCTGTAATGTCTACACCTGTTTTATTCGGCGCATGTGGCAAATAAAATTTGATTTGAATTGATTTGATTGACGGTTCAAGGTATTGATACTACAGATGTAGGATCTTAATTTGATCACTCTTTTGTAGATGAGAATTGGAAGGAAATGTAAACTTGTAGGGTATTCAAGGTTTTAAACGGCTTTTAAAGTTTGTAATTTTCACTTTAAAATGTAAGACTTGATTTGCCCTAACGAAAAATGTATCAACCCCTACAAAAAAATTCTAATTAATTATAATCCACATAATATTTCACATTTCCTGTTGATGCAGGATTATTTTCCTACTGTAGCAAACTTGCTCAAATTAAGATCCTACATCTGTACTGTTTATTTTAATTTTTTAGATTGGTGTGTTAGTCTATGCGTTAATACTAATAGTGTTGAATATTGAATTGTCTAACCCCCCGTGTGACAGTGTGGTGATCTGTCTTTGGGCTACAGACACTGAGCTCTATAAGGTTGTGGGGCCATGTAAAGTCAGGTTGCTGTTGACACAGGTGGGGCACTGGGCGTGGATTCCCAGGTTAGAGGGGCTGCCGCAAAGGGACAAGTGTGTGTGGATATATCATAGGGGTATGGGGCAGACCTGGGTTCAAATACTATTTATAATAATTTCAAATACTTTAGCTGTACTTGATTGAGCTTGCCTGTTGCAATGGAACAAATAGAAAAGTCCCCAAAAGCGCAAACCTCGCCCACTTGACACTCCAGGCAGGCCAAAGCAAACAGAAAAATATTTCTTATAGTATTTGAGCCCAGGTCTGGTGTGTGGACAATGTTAGGTGAGGGTATAAAACCCCAGGGCCAGACCCTGCTCCCTACTCTGGAAGGAAGATGATGAAACTGAATTTAGTTCTGCTGCTGGCTGCCTACGGTGAGTAACCTACCTACTACCTTCAGCCCCTCACATATCCACACTACGGTGAGTAACCTACCTACTACTTTCAGCCCCATATATCCACACTACGGTGAGTAACATACCTACTATCTTCATTCCCACATATCCACACTACGGTGAATAACCTACCTACTACCTTCAGCCCCACATATCCACACTACAGTGAGTAACCTACCTACTACCTTCAGCCCCTCACATATCCACACTACGGTGAGTAACCTACCTACTACCTTCAGCCCCACATATCCACACTACGGTGAGTAACCTACCTACTACCTTCAGCCCCTCACATATCCACACTACGGTGAGTAACCTACCTACTACCTTCAGCCCCACATATCCACACTACGGTGAGTAACCTACCTACTACCTTCAGCCACTCACATATCCACACTACGGTGAGTAACCTACCTAATACCTTCAGCCCCACATATCCACACTACGGTGAGTAACCTACCTACTACATTCAGCCCCTCAAATACATCCATCCATACATCTGATAGCATAAGCCCAACAGCTTAATAGGAATGATCGAGCTCCTTATCATTCAAACGGCATATTGTGACATTTCTCATAAACCTGATCAGCTCAGTTTTGAAGAATATTAGTGATCTGATTATATAGGGACATGTGTAACTCAGGTCAAAGCTGATCGCTTTTTAGGAAGCGCCCTCTGAGCTGTGTGTTGTTAACCCTGTGTTGTCTGTGTGGCCCATACAGCCTACGGATGTGGCATGCCCACTTACGAGCCCGTTGTCAGCCGCGTGGTGAATGGAGAGGACGCCAAGCCCTACAGCTGGCCCTGGCAGGTCACATCCGTAGGCTGTATGGGCCACACAGACAACACAGGGTTAACAACACACTAGGATAGCTCCCATACCAGTCTATCCTAGTGGCTGTGATACAACACTAACCATCCACATGCCAGGGCATACTATGCTCAGATCTAACCATAGCTGAGGAACCTGGGACATTTACGAACATAAACATATACATTTACAAATATAAACTATTCAGTTCTAAAACTTTACCCTTCACAGACAATGTATTTGGAAGTTTAATCAAGAAAGAACGACTGAATGTGTGTGTGTGTGTGTGTGTGTGTGTGTGTTTACAGATCTCTCTGCAGTACCTTAGCGACTCTAACTACTACCACACCTGCGGAGGCACCCTGATTGCTAAAAACTGGGTCCTGACTGCTGGACACTGCATCTCGTGAGTCAACCATCCAATCAGAGACTAAACATTTATCATCTCTCTTACAGTGTTACATTGGGCTGACTGGGATCTTTGATGTGTGTGTGTGTGTGTCAGGGATCATCGTACCTACCGTGTGGTGCTGGGAGAGTATGACCTGACCCAGATGGATGAGAACGAACAGATCAAAGAGGTGGAGACGATCGTCGTGCATCCCGGCTGGAACGACAACTGTTTGTCCTGCGGGTGAGGGTTACACACACACACACAAACACACAAACACACACACACACACACTCCTGATTGCATCTACTACTGTCTCCCTGCTCAGAGATGACGTTGCCCTGATCAAGCTGGCCTCCCCTGCGACTCTGAATGATAAGGTCCACACCTCCTGTCTGCCTCCCAGTGGAGATATCTTGACCCACAACTACCACTGTTACATCAGCGGCTGGGGCAGAATCTACAGTAAGGCTCTGTGTGTGTGTGTGTGTGTGTGTGTGTGTGTGTGTGTGTGTGTGTGTGTGTGTGTGTGTGTGTGTGTGTGTGTGTGTGTGTGTGTGTGTGTGTGTGTAGTGGCGGCAGGTAGGCTAGTGTTTAAGATTAGCTGGTTCCAATCCCTGAGCCGACTACGTAAAAAATCTGTCGATATGCCTTTGAGCAAGGCATTTAACCCTACCTAATTGCTCCTGTAAGTCGCTCTGGATAACAACGTCTGCTAAATGACTAAAATGTAAATGTGTGTCTGCCTCACTTAAGGCCGTCCTAATACATTGACCATGTTATTACCGTATGTTCTCCCCTGTAGCTGCCGGTCCCCTTGCCAAAAAGCTGCAGCAGGCCCTGCTGCCCGTGGTGGCCCATGAGACCTGCAGCCAGAGTGACTGGTGGGGAGGCTCTGTCAAGCCTTCCATGATCTGTGGTGGTGGAGACAGAAAGGCTGGCTGCAATGTGAGTGTCATCCCCTACTGTAGCTACCTATCACATAATATATTACAACAATGTAGCATTGTTTATTGTCCCCAGTAAAGGAGCTCCACCATGGTGATAACCAGTATTCTTTATCTTTCTGTCCATCATCTCTCCCTCTCTATCTCTCTCTTCCCCTCTCCCTACCCCTTTATCTACTCCGCCTCCTCTCTCTCTCTCTCTCTCTCTCTCCCTCTCTCAATTCAATTTCAATTCAATGTAAGGGCTTTATTGGCATGGGAAACGTATGTTAACATTGCCAAAGCAAGTGAAGTAGATAGTAAACAAAAGTGAAATAAACAATAAATATTAACAGTAAACATTACACTCAGAAGATCCAAAAGAATTAAGACATTTCAAATATCATATTATGTCTATACACAGTGTCGTAACAATGTGCAAATAGTTAAAGTACAAATGGGAAAATAAATCTCTCTCTCTCCCTCTCTATCTCCATCCCTCCCTCCCCCAGGGTGATTCTGGAGGTCCTCTGAATTGTAAGGGTGCTGATGGTAAATGGTACGTCCATGGAATCGCCAGCTTCGTGTCGTCTCGTGGATGCAACACCCTGAAGAAACCCACTGTCTTCACCCGCACCTCCTCCTTCAGCGACTGGATCACCAATGTTAGTCTCTCACCTTTCTCCTTAATCTATCATGCCCACTTGGCAATTTTCCAATGACCATCCTACCACATTACCATACAAATGGAATGCTAGTGTGGATAATAGAATGTAGCCAATGTGTGCCACACCTGCAGGATCAACTAGGTTAGTTTGTTGTACATTGTTTTCAAAGTCTTGTTCTGGAGAACTCAACGTTCTCTCTCCCTTTTCTTTCAGACTATAGCGGTCTACTGAAGACCTGGACTGGAGTTGGCTGAAGATCAGGTTGAATAAAGGATCATGTGTCAATAAACCCATCTAATGCAGATCACGTTTTCACTGTGTATTCTTTCTCTTCATGTAAGGTTCCCAATGTTTCAAGTTTCAAGTTTTAATGTCACATGCTCAAGTACAGTGAAATGCCTTTCTTGCAAGCGCTAACCCCAACAATGCAGTAATCAATAACAATGTAATAATAAAAATAACAAGGTAGAACAAAAACACATGAGATATAAAAATAAGAAGAACACGATAAAGTAAGTAAGCATACTATATACAGGGTCAGTTCCAGTACCATATTTACAATGTGCAGAGATACTGGAATGATACAGGTAGATATGTGTAGGGGTAAGGTGACTAGGCATCAGGATATATGATAAACAGAGTAGCAGCATTGTATATTATGATTGTATGTGAGTGGGTGTATGTAGAGTCAGGATAAATGTATGTGCATGGAGCAAATTATGTGTGTGAGCAAATGATGGAATGATCAGTGTGTAGGACCCTGTGCGTGTGCATAGAGAAAGTGCAAAAATACAAATAAAATACAAAGGTCAACTCAGCTAGTCCGTGTGGCCATTTTGTTAGCTATTTAGTTAGCTATTTAGCGGTCCTATGGCATGGGGATTGAAGCTGTTCAGGAACCTGTTGGTTCAGACTTGACGCACCAGTACCGCTTGCCGTGCGGAAGCAGAGAGATCAGTCTACGGCTTGGGTGGTTTAATTCTTTAACGATTTTCCGGTCCTTCCTTTCACACCACCTGATATATGGTTACCCCTTTCTCTATATCATTTTCTCTATTACAGCAAGTACTAAATAATGGCACCGGAGGGGATGGCTGCTGCTTTACAGGCTCCTAACCAACTGTGCTATTTTGTTTGTTTTATCGCGTTGTTTATAACTTATTTTGTACGTAATGTTGCTGCCACCATCTCTTATGACCGAAAAGAGCTTCTGGATATCAGAACAGCAATTACTCACTTTGAACTGGACAAAGATCTTTTCTTTAATGAGTCCGACACGAAGGATATACTGCTTTCCCGAGACCAGGCCCAAATCCCGTCATTCGCGTGAAGAAAATATGGAAATACAGCTGTAGACCACACTGTCTACCAAGAGAGTTTTAATCTATATTATTCGTAGCCGTCTATTTACCACCACAGACCGATGCTGGCACTAAGACCACACTCAATGAGTTGTATAAGGCCATAAGCAAACAAGAAAATGCTGATCCAGAAGCGACGCTCCTAGTGGCCGGGGACTTTAACGCAGGCAAACTTAAATCCGTTTTACCTAATTTCTACCAACATGTCACATGTGCAACCAGAGGGAAAAAAACTCTAGACCACCTTTACTCCACACACAGAGACGCATACAAAGCTCTCCCTCGCCCTCCATTTGGCAAATCTGACCATAATTCTATCCTCCTGATTCCTGCTTACAAGCAAAAACTAAAGCAGGAAGTACCAGTGACTAGCTCAATACAGAAGTGGTCAGATGACGTGGATGCTATGCTACAGGACTGTTTTGCTAGCACAGACTGGATTCATCCATTGGCATTGAGGAGTATACCACCTCAGTCACCGGCTTCATCAATAAGTGCATTGATGAAGTCATCCCCACAGTGACCGTGCGTACATATCCCAACCAGAAGCCATGGACTACAGGCAACATCCACACTGAGCTAAAGGCTAGAGCTGCCGCTTTCAAGGAGCGTGACACTAATCCGGACGCTTATAAGAAATCCCACTATGCCCTCAGATGAACCATCAAACAAGCAAAGCGTCAATACAGGACTAAGATTCTCTGACGCTCGTCGGATGTGGCAGGGCTTGCAAACTATTACGGACTACATAGGGAAACCCAGCCGCGAGCTGCTCAGTGACGCGAGCCTACCAGACGAGCTAAATGCCTTTTATGCTCGCTTCGAGGCAAGCAACACTGAAGCTGATGGGGATTTTTTAGTGGACTATGAGATAAAACGAAGTTAATCACGAATATATAGTTAGAATTCTCTGTTGCTAGGCAATAACTTCATTGGTTCATTTCACTGTGTGTGTGTGTGTGAAGTGGGGTTCTGACTCTTACCTAATCCATGGCTGTCCTGCCTTATCAGAGACTGAAACCAGACTGTGGCCTTTTGCCTCTCTCCTCAAACAAAGTGGAAAGAGCGGCGCCAGAGTTGAACAGAGTTTAGACTAATCATGAGTAATTACAGCATGACAGGAGGGAAGAGAGGAGTGGGTTTTGTGTATGTTTGAAAGATTAAGTGTGGACCTGTCATGTCCAACAATCAATCTTTAGGTCAAGCCAGGGAGAGTTTAAAACTGAACATGATTATTTGTGAATGACAAGGGCTTGATTGATTGTAATAATATTGTTTCTAAATTGAAGAGAAGTCAAATTTAGCCGCTATCATAGACTAAGGAAGTGGGTGGAGCAGTAGAGAGTGGGAAACTGAAGATAATGGTGGGGGAACCCCAGAGCGAGGGGCTCTAAACTAGGATGTGTGTGAATATGACTATATAAACAGAGAGTGGAGAAAGAGAGGGGAGGTGCTCTGCAGATCACGTTACTTTGTGTAATAAAGTCTATCTTGATTCTACAAAAACTCTGGAAGTACTTGATTTTTAATAAATTATAGTGATCATTTTCCACATCAAAGCATGCATGAGAGCACCAGCTGTTCCGGACGGCTGTGTGATCACGCACTTCGTAGCCTTTGTGAGCAAGACCTTTAAGCAGGTCAACATTCACTAGGCCGTAGGGCCAGACAGATTACCAGGACGTGTACTCAGAGCATGAGCGGACCAACTGGCAAGTGTCTTCACTGACATTTTCAACCTCTCCCTGACCCGAGTCTGTAATGCCTACATGTTTCAAGCAGACCACCATAGTCCCTGTGCCCAAGAAAGCGAAGGTAACCTGCCTAAATTACTACCCCCCCATAGCACTCACGTCAGTAGCCATGAAGTGCTATGAAAGGATGGTCATGACTCACATCAACACCATCATCCCGGAAACCCTAGACCCACTCCCATTCGCATACCGCCCCAACAGATCCACAGATTTTGCAATCGCAATCGCCCTCCACACTTCCCTTTCCCACCTGGACAAAAGGAACACCTATGTGAGAATGCTGTTATTTAACTACAGCTCAGCGTTCAACACCATAGTGCCCACGAAGCTCATCACTAAGTTAAGGACCCTGGGACTAAACACCTCCCTCTGCAACTGGATCCTTCCTGACGGGCCGCCCCCAGGTGGTAAGGGTAGGCAATAACACATCTGCCACACTGATCCTCAACAATACCTCAGGGGTGCGTGCTTAGTCCCCTCTTGTACTCCCTGTTCACTCCTGACTGCGTGGCCAAGCACGACTCCAACAACATCATAAAGTTTGCTGATGACACAACGGTGGTAGGCCTGATCACCGACAACGATGAGACAGCCTATAGGGAGGAGGTCAGAGACCTGGCAGTGTGGTTCTAGGAAAACATCCTCTCCCTCAATGTGAGCAAGACAAAGGTGAGAGCTGAACGTGGACTACAGGAAAAGGAGGGCCGAACAGGACCCCATTAACATTAACGGGGCTGTAGTGGAGCGGTTCTAGAGTTTCAAGATCCTTGGTGTCCACATCACCAACAAACTATAATGGTCCAAACACACCAAGACAGTCGTGAAGAGGGTACGACAACACCTTTTCCCCCTCAGGAGACTGAAAAGATTTGGCATGGGTCCCCAGATCCTCAAAAAGTTCTACAGCTGCACCATTGAGAGCATTCTGACAGGTTGCATCACCGCCTGGTATGGCAACTTCTCGGCATCCGACCGTAAGCCACTACAGAGGTTAGTGCAGACAGCCCAGTACATCACTGGGGCCAAGCTTCCTGCCATCCAGGACCTACACTACCGGTCAATAGTTTTAGAACAGTTATTCATTTAAGGTTTTTCTTTATTTTTACTATTTTCTACATTGCAGAACAATAGTGAAGACATCAAAACTGTGAAATAACACATATGCCTCCCAGTGTGTGTGTGTGTGTGTGTGTGTGTGTGTGTAGTGGCGGCAGGTAGGCTAGTGTTTAAGATTAGCTGGTTCCAATCCCTGAGCCGACTACGTAAAAAATCTGTCGATATGCCTTTGAGCAAGGCATTTAACCCTACCTAATTGCTCCTGTAAGTCGCTCTGGATAACAACGTCTGCTAAATGACTAAAATGTAAATGTGTGTCTGCCTCACTTAAGGCCGTCCTAATACATTGACCATGTTATTACCGTATGTTCTCCCCTGTAGCTGCCGGTCCCCTTGCCAAAAAGCTGCAGCAGGCCCTGCTGCCCGTGGTGGCCCATGAGACCTGCAGCCAGAGTGACTGGTGGGGAGGCTCTGTCAAGCCTTCCATGATCTGTGGTGGTGGAGACAGAAAGGCTGGCTGCAATGTGAGTGTCATCCCCTACTGTAGCTACCTATCACATAATATATTACAACAATGTAGCATTGTTTATTGTCCCCAGTAAAGGAGCTCCACCATGGTGATAACCAGTATTCTTTATCTTTCTGTCCATCATCTCTCCCTCTCTATCTCTCTCTTCCCCTCTCCCTACCCCTTTATCTACTCCGCCTCCTCTCTCTCTCTCTCTCTCTCTCTCCCTCTCTCAATTCAATTTCAATTCAATGTAAGGGCTTTATTGGCATGGGAAACGTATGTTAACATTGCCAAAGCAAGTGAAGTAGATAGTAAACAAAAGTGAAATAAACAATAAATATTAACAGTAAACATTACACTCAGAAGTTCCAAAAGAATAAAGACATTTCAAATATCATATTATGTCTATACACAGTGTCGTAACAATGTGCAAATAGTTAAAGTACAAATGGGAAAATAAATCTCTCTCTCTCCCTCTCTATCTCCATCCCTCCCTCCCCCAGGGTGATTCTGGAGGTCCTCTGAATTGTAAGGGTGCTGATGGTAAATGGTACGTCCATGGAATCGCCAGCTTCGTGTCGTCTCGTGGATGCAACACCCTGAAGAAACCCACTGTCTTCACCCGCACCTCCTCCTTCAGCGACTGGATCACCAATGTTAGTCTCTCACCTTTCTCCTTAATCTATCATGCCCACTTGGCAATTTTCCAATGACCATCCTACCACATTACCATACAAATGGAATGCTAGTGTGGATAATAGAATGTAGCCAATGTGTGCCACACCTGCAGGATCAACTAGGTTAGTTTGTTGTACATTGTTTTCAAAGTCTTGTTCTGGAGAACTCAACGTTCTCTCTCCCTTTTCTTTCAGACTATAGCGGTCTACTGAAGACCTGGACTGGAGTTGGCTGAAGATCAGGTTGAATAAAGGATCATGTGTCAATAAACCCATCTAATGCAGATCACGTTTTCACTGTGTATTCTTTCTCTTCATGTAAGGTTCCCAATGTTTCAAGTTTCAAGTTTTAATGTCACATGCTCAAGTACAGTGAAATGCCTTTCTTGCAAGCGCTAACCCCAACAATGCAGTAATCAATAACAATGTAATAATAAAAATAACAAGGTAGAACAAAAACACATGAGATATAAAAATAAGAAGAACACGATAAAGTAAGTAAGCATACTATATACAGGGTCAGTTCCAGTACCATATTTACAATGTGCAGAGATACTGGAATGATACAGGTAGATATGTGTAGGGGTAAGGTGACTAGGCATCAGGATATATGATAAACAGAGTAGCAGCATTGTATATTATGATTGTATGTGAGTGGGTGTATGTAGAGTCAGGATAAATGTATGTGCATGGAGCAAATTATGTGTGTGAGCAAATGATGGAATGATCAGTGTGTAGGACCCTGTGCGTGTGCATAGAGAAAGTGCAAAAATACAAATAAAATACAAAGGTCAACTCAGCTAGTCCGTGTGGCCATTTTGTTAGCTATTTAGTTAGCTATTTAGCGGTCCTATGGCATGGGGATTGAAGCTGTTCAGGAACCTGTTGGTTCAGACTTGACGCACCAGTACCGCTTGCCGTGCGGAAGCAGAGAGATCAGTCTACGGCTTGGGTGGTTTAATTCTTTAACGATTTTCCGGTCCTTCCTTTCACACCACCTGATATATGGTTACCCCTTTCTCTATATCATTTTCTCTATTACAGCAAGTACTAAATAATGGCACCGGAGGGGATGGCTGCTGCTTTACAGGCTCCTAACCAACTGTGCTATTTTGTTTGTTTTATCGCGTTGTTTATAACTTATTTTGTACGTAATGTTGCTGCCACCATCTCTTATGACCGAAAAGAGCTTCTGGATATCAGAACAGCAATTACTCACTTTGAACTGGACAAAGATCTTTTCTTTAATGAGTCCGACACGAAGGATATACTGCTTTCCCGAGACCAGGCCCAAATCCCGTCATTCGCGTGAAGAAAATATGGAAATACAGCTGTAGACCACACTGTCTACCAAGAGAGTTTTAATCTATATTATTCGTAGCCGTCTATTTACCACCACAGACCGATGCTGGCACTAAGACCACACTCAATGAGTTGTATAAGGCCATAAGCAAACAAGAAAATGCTGATCCAGAAGCGACGCTCCTAGTGGCCGGGGACTTTAACGCAGGCAAACTTAAATCCGTTTTACCTAATTTCTACCAACATGTCACATGTGCAACCAGAGGGAAAAAAACTCTAGACCACCTTTACTCCACACACAGAGACGCATACAAAGCTCTCCCTCGCCCTCCATTTGGCAAATCTGACCATAATTCTATCCTCCTGATTCCTGCTTACAAGCAAAAACTAAAGCAGGAAGTACCAGTGACTAGCTCAATACAGAAGTGGTCAGATGACGTGGATGCTATGCTACAGGACTGTTTTGCTAGCACAGACTGGATTCATCCATTGGCATTGAGGAGTATACCACCTCAGTCACCGGCTTCATCAATAAGTGCATTGATGAAGTCATCCCCACAGTGACCGTGCGTACATATCCCAACCAGAAGCCATGGACTACAGGCAACATCCACACTGAGCTAAAGGCTAGAGCTGCCGCTTTCAAGGAGCGTGACACTAATCCGGACGCTTATAAGAAATCCCACTATGCCCTCAGATGAACCATCAAACAAGCAAAGCGTCAATACAGGACTAAGATTCTCTGACGCTCGTCGGATGTGGCAGGGCTTGCAAACTATTACGGACTACATAGGGAAACCCAGCCGCGAGCTGCTCAGTGACGCGAGCCTACCAGACGAGCTAAATGCCTTTTATGCTCGCTTCGAGGCAAGCAACACTGAAGCTGATGGGGATTTTTTAGTGGACTATGAGATAAAACGAAGTTAATCACGAATATATAGTTAGAATTCTCTGTTGCTAGGCAATAACTTCATTGGTTCATTTCACTGTGTGTGTGTGTGTGAAGTGGGGTTCTGACTCTTACCTAATCCATGGCTGTCCTGCCTTATCAGAGACTGAAACCAGACTGTGGCCTTTTGCCTCTCTCCTCAAACAAAGTGGAAAGAGCGGCGCCAGAGTTGAACAGAGTTTAGACTAATCATGAGTAATTACAGCATGACAGGAGGGAAGAGAGGAGTGGGTTTTGTGTATGTTTGAAAGATTAAGTGTGGACCTGTCATGTCCAACAATCAATCTTTAGGTCAAGCCAGGGAGAGTTTAAAACTGAACATGATTATTTGTGAATGACAAGGGCTTGATTGATTGTAATAATATTGTTTCTAAATTGAAGAGAAGTCAAATTTAGCCGCTATCATAGACTAAGGAAGTGGGTGGAGCAGTAGAGAGTGGGAAACTGAAGATAATGGTGGGGGAACCCCAGAGCGAGGGGCTCTAAACTAGGATGTGTGTGAATATGACTATATAAACAGAGAGTGGAGAAAGAGAGGGGAGGTGCTCTGCAGATCACGTTACTTTGTGTAATAAAGTCTATCTTGATTCTACAAAAACTCTGGAAGTACTTGATTTTTAATAAATTATAGTGATCATTTTCCACATCAAAGCATGCATGAGAGCACCAGCTGTTCCGGACGGCTGTGTGATCACGCACTTCGTAGCCTTTGTGAGCAAGACCTTTAAGCAGGTCAACATTCACTAGGCCGTAGGGCCAGACAGATTACCAGGACGTGTACTCAGAGCATGAGCGGACCAACTGGCAAGTGTCTTCACTGACATTTTCAACCTCTCCCTGACCCGAGTCTGTAATGCCTACATGTTTCAAGCAGACCACCATAGTCCCTGTGCCCAAGAAAGCGAAGGTAACCTGCCTAAATTACTACCCCCCCCATAGCACTCACGTCAGTAGCCATGAAGTGCTATGAAAGGATGGTCATGACTCACATCAACACCATCATCCCGGAAACCCTAGACCCACTCCCATTCGCATACCGCCCCAACAGATCCACAGATTTTGCAATCGCAATCGCCCTCCACACTTCCCTTTCCCACCTGGACAAAAGGAACACCTATGTGAGAATGCTGTTATTTAACTACAGCTCAGCGTTCAACACCATAGTGCCCACGAAGCTCATCACTAAGTTAAGGACCCTGGGACTAAACACCTCCCTCTGCAACTGGATCCTTCCTGACGGGCCGCCCCCAGGTGGTAAGGGTAGGCAATAACACATCTGCCACACTGATCCTCAACAATACCTCAGGGGTGCGTGCTTAGTCCCCTCTTGTACTCCCTGTTCACTCCTGACTGCGTGGCCAAGCACGACTCCAACAACATCATAAAGTTTGCTGATGACACAACGGTGGTAGGCCTGATCACCGACAACGATGAGACAGCCTATAGGGAGGAGGTCAGAGACCTGGCAGTGTGGTTCTAGGAAAACATCCTCTCCCTCAATGTGAGCAAGACAAAGGTGAGAGCTGAACGTGGACTACAGGAAAAGGAGGGCCGAACAGGACCCCATTAACATTAACGGGGCTGTAGTGGAGCGGTTCTAGAGTTTCAAGATCCTTGGTGTCCACATCACCAACAAACTATAATGGTCCAAACACACCAAGACAGTCGTGAAGAGGGTACGACAACACCTTTTCCCCCTCAGGAGACTGAAAAGATTTGGCATGGGTCCCCAGATCCTCAAAAAGTTCTACAGCTGCACCATTGAGAGCATTCTGACAGGTTGCATCACCGCCTGGTATGGCAACTTCTCGGCATCCGACCGTAAGCCACTACAGAGGTTAGTGCAGACAGCCCAGTACATCACTGGGGCCAAGCTTCCTGCCATCCAGGACCTACACTACCGGCCAATAGTTTTAGAACAGTTATTCATTTAAGGTTTTTCTTTATTTTTACTATTTTCTACATTGCAGAACAATAGTGAAGACATCAAAACTGTGAAATAACACATATGGAATCATGTAGTAACCAAAAAACCAGCTATAATGCTGAGTTGCATCCAAAGAACACCATACCTACTGTGAAGCATGGGGTGGAAACATCATGCTTTGGGGCTGTTTTTCTGCAAAGGGACCAGGACGACTGATCCGTGTAAAGGAAAGAATGAATGGGGCCATGTATCGTGAGATTTTGAGTGAAACCCTCCTTCCATCAGCAAGGGCATTGAAGATGAAACGTGGCTGGGTCTTTCAGCATGACAATGATCCCAAACACACCGCCCGGGCAACGAAGGAGTGGCTTCGTAAGAAGCATTTCAAGGTCCTGGAGTGGCCTAGCCAGTCTCCAGATCTCAACCCCATAGAAAATCTTTGGAGGGAGTTGAAAGTCCGTGTTGCCCAGCGACAGCACCAAAACATCACTGCTCTAGAGGAGATCTGCATGGAGGAATGGGCCAAAATACCAGCAACAGTGTGTGAAAACCTTGTGAAGACTTACAGTAAATGTTTGACCTGTGTCATTGCCAACAAAGGGTATATAACAAAGTATTGATAAACTTTTGTTATTGCCCAAACACTTATTTTCCACCATAATTTGCAAATAAATTCATAAAAAATCCTACAATGTGATTTTCTGGAAAAAAAATTCTCATTTTGTCTGTCATAGTTGACGTGTACCTATGATGAAAATTACAGGCCTCTCTCATCTTTTTAAGTGGGAGAACTTGCACAATTGGTGGCTGACTAAATACTTTTTTCCCCCACTGTAATCAGTGCCAGCTGTGCCACTTCTACCATGTTATCTGATGGCTCCAGCTATAATTGAACGTTCTGTCACATGCAAGAAAATCAACGCTTTTCATTGGCTAATATGCATTTTGTGCATGAGAACCCAGTTAACTTTAAATGCTTGTTTATGTTCGCAAGTATGGCCCCATGATTTACCCAGTGGTGCAAGAATCTGAACC